ATCGATCGATACCTGGTCCGAATCTGAAAACATAAGGTTTCAAGAGCTAATTTTGAATTAAATTTTAGGTGTTTGGAAAACGCCCACGAATCGTATAGGCCACAATGGCTCAAACACTGTGGGCCCCTTGTACAACACCGGCTATGTGCAGCGCCCATAGTGACGTGTTGTCCTCTTTCAATTAATTTTCTTCCTATGCACAAATGACTAAGCTCTAGAAATGAGAATGAACTAAAGTATTTACGTACTCACACCAAGTTCACTTAGCAAGAGTTCATTCGAATTGAATTCATTAATTGATTCAATCAAAATTGAATAGCATTTGAGTTCGTTTGAACTTAATTTGATAATTAGTTAAATTAAAATTATTTTATAATCAATAATATTTAATAAAAATCTCGTTCAATGTCTATTTAGTAAATAAATAATTAAATTTTAAATGTAAATAATCAAACAAGTTCGAAGAAGAATGTTTGATTTAACTTGTTTCAGTTACTCCCTACTCAACTCTGCACCATAGATGCACCCTTTTGTTGGCTTTCGTCACTTGGCAGCTAAAGTACATAGCCAGTCGCCAAAAATGATTGCATGGATGACTCAGCTTTGCACCACAGTGATTCCTATTGTTTTGCTTTCGTCACTTGGCAGCTAAAGTACAGTAGCCAGTGGCCAAAGTCACCCTCTCTCCCTTGCAAAATCCCAGAACCCCTGCCCTGCTTCCATGGCGGATCTTCTGAAAAACTACAAGTAAGTCCATCACTCCAGCGCCATGGCAGAACGAAACCCCAAATGCTTGAAAGCTAGCTTCTTTCCCCAAATGATCAAAACCCATCCGAAAAATCAGCCGTGAGAACGGAGCCCATGAAGGCCAATCTTTCCCCAGCAAGCGCAGATGATAATTGTCAAGAAGATCGATTCAGTGCCTTGCCAGACCACATACTCTTCAACATTCTCTCATTTCTTCGGACCAAAGAGGCAGCCTCCACTTCCATTTTATCCACTAGATGGAGGTACATTTTCTTGGATCTTCCCAATATTGACCTTGATGATTATGAGCTTGTTAATACTAGAAGGTTAGAGGCGATGAATCTGATGATTGCTATCATGATGTGATGGGGGAGTTAGAGGAGAAATTCATAGACTTTGTTGACAGACTAGTTATGCATCGTGAGTCGCCTCTAAGTGAGTTTCATTTTAGCTGTGGGTGTGGATGCCTGACTGACCAAACTATTGTGGTTCGTTCATGGTTATCTTCTGTGCTTTCGCGCAATGTTCAAGTTATTGACGTGCGGGTCAAATTTTATGGTGGTGAGTTTTGGGGACCTGAAGTCTTTCCATCTGAAATTTTAACTTGCGAGACCTTGTAGTCTTGAAATTAGACGGAAATGTTAGCCTGAAGGTTCCAAAATTGCTTTGCTTGCCGAATCTTAGAGTCTTGCATTTGGACACTCTGACACTGCTAGGAGATAGTACAGGTTCGACGCTCAAATGGAATTGCCCATTGCTTGATGATTTAAGGATTGATCTGGTAATTTTTTGTGATGTTGGCTTAGTTGATATCAACCTCCCTTCGCTGACAAAGTTGGTGTGGGCATCGAAAAGGACAAGGTTGTTCTTAACACCCCAAAGCTCGAGTGTTTGGAGTACAGATTTTATGAAAGCATACTCAGCTCAAATTGCAAGTTCAAGTTTTTAACGAAAGCTGATCTGCGTTGTGAATATCCGGATGCATTACCCGAGCACTTGGCTCACGAGCTTTGCCAACTTTTTGGTCAACTTTGCAATGTAAAACATCTTGATCTAAGAGGGTGCTCTTTGGAGGTAGTTTCTTTGACTTATTGCATGTCTTTTATGTCACCGGGCTTGTTCAGGATTTCATATCCTATATAGTAAGACGTTGGAATGACTTTTGCTTTTTCTGTGATGTGAAAAGTCTCTCCTCAGGGAAGATCATTTGTTGCCTGAATTTCTAAATTTGACGCATTTGGTGCTTAATGGACTTGGATTGGAAGTTGGAATTCTTGGAGATTCTACTGTGGAGTGCACCAAATTTGGAGATGCTAGTTTTTGAATTAATGGTGAGTTAGGATCTGAATTAAGGAAAAATCAATGTTGGTTTTGGCATTTTGTATTTTAGACTGATAAACTAAACCAAGCAAACTAATTTTCAAGCATTCTCTCCTTTTTTCTTTTAAATCAGCGTCAATTTGATATGGCCTCTGGTATACACCTCCACTGTGGTGCTAAGAGAAACCTCATTGTTTGAGTCAGCATCTGAGGGAAGTGAATAATGGAATTCGTGGAATCTCACCAACTGGCTTTGAGATAGTAAGCTACTTCTTGAAGCATGGGGCGGGTTACAGAAGATGACTATATCATTCAAGAACTTCCCCAACTAAATGGTCCTCATCAACCCGCAAGAAGTTAATGGAGTTGTCAAGATGCTCAAGAAATTGTGAGATTGTGCTCATTTAGCTTGTGGAGTAAATAGTGCACTATAGATATTCAAAGGGGTTTGATGAATAGATGTTGAAGCAGCTTTCATTGTAGAATTGTTTGTCTACTGTGGCGAATGTTTCTTCCTCTAGATGCCTTGCTTTGAGTCCTTTCTATGAAGTATCAGGTCTTTTAATCTGACATGAGATATCTCAAGTATTTTCTTCAATTAAGCCGCTATAAGAATGAATGTAGCATTAAAACGACAGTGTAGACATTAAAAACACAATAAATGTAGACAGTTGCTTAAAGGGAAAAAAAAAACACAACGATTGTAGAAGGATAGCAAATTTTCTCTCCACTGAAAGGGCAAAGAAACTATTCCATAGAGTAGTAGTCTAGAATTTTGGGTTTGACGACTAGAGAGTAAAAGCATGGGAAATTTTCTCTCCCATTGAGAGGGGCAGAAGCCATATCATATGGTAGCCAAGTATTATGGGCTTGTTCTCAACGACTAGTAATATAACAACAGAAAACTAGTATAGGAAACTTGTGCAATACGTACTTTCTTTGATTACATTTTACCTTTTTGAGATAAAATATGAATGATTGTTTAAGGTATTCTACAACATTTGTTTTAATACTGGTATCCATTCAAATAAATAATCTAAATATTGTCATAAATGCCTCCCTGAAGAAGAAATTTGAGGCTCAAATCTGGTGTGAATTGTCTGGTGGGAATTTTCTAAGTGTGAATAAGTCTCTCTATTTGATAAAAACAAGGGATAATTTAAGAAACCTCCCTCGAGGTTTCTGACAATTTCACTGAGCTCCCCTTAAATTGGAAAATTACACCTACCTCCCTTGATTTGATAGTTTTCGCAACAAAACCTTAAAATAATATTGATTTGGTCAAATTTTTGAATGAATACCCAAAAATGCTCTTGTGTAATGAGTTTTAATTTATTTCCTGTACAATTATAAGATTATCTAGTAATTATAAGGAAAAATGCCAAATTTTTCATGTCCATGCCTATTATTTGATAAACAACTATAATAATAATTTTATCACTATGATATGATACTTTTGATAGTATTTTATTAAATTTATATTTATAAGATAGAAAAGAAAATGTTGAAATAATTCATTTAGAGTTTATTAATTTTTCGAGTAGTGGGATTATCATAATTTAGCTGCGGTTTTGGGTTTATTTTGGTTTTGGGAATTATATAATTCTTTTTGATTTATTGTTAACTTTAATACCAAAAAATAGAAAACAAAGATTAGCAAAAGCATTGGATTACATATAAGTTAACTCATAAAAAAATCACTAGTTCGAGATTTTGTTACAATAAAAACTAGAGATAATAGTGCTAGCTCTATAGTTTTATTGGCAAAAAAATTTTTTGAAAAAAGGAATAAGAAGGAAAAAGAATGAAAAATAAGTTTAAAAAGTCATTCTACGTTTAAGCATACCAAACAAGCGAATTCCATTAAAATATTTAAAGGTATTATTATCATTTTAAATGATAAGAGAAGTATGTGTAATTTTTAAAACTTTGAGGAAGCTAAATGAAATTGTTAAAACCTCAAGGGAGGTTTCTGAAACTTTCCCTAAAAATAATCCAGCACCTATGAATTTATTTTGTCATTTTGTCATCCTTGAAAAATGATTCCAACTAATGTTAAAAAATTCTCTCCTCGAACGTCACTGAAGCTTCACCTAGTGTAAACGGTCAATAGAGAGATTTTGTTACCTTTCTTTTCTCCAAAACAGGCTATTTATTCTTCTACCAAAATTCTGCATTAGACCGTAAATGGAAGCATTCCAAGCGTTCCTACCAAAAAAGTAAACAAACAAATTAGTATTTTATGTTCTGGAATATAAGAATAATGGACAATGGACAATGGCTTGGTTTTCTAAAAAGGAAAATGCTTTTGGACATGGTAAAAGTGGCATTTGCTTCCATGGTAGATCATCTGCAACCTCCTAGTAGTAAGCCCAACTGATGATCAAACCCCAAATGCTTTATAGCTAGCTCCTTTCCTCTAAATGATCAGAACACACCTGAAAAAGCAGCCATGAAAACACAGTCAAGAAGGCCAAGCTTTCCCCTTCAAGCCCGGATGATGATTGTCAAGAAGATTGTATCAGTGCCCTGCCGGATGGCATCCTCTGTCACATTCTCTCATTTCTTCCCACAAAATTAGTAGCCCCACATCCATTTTGTCCACCAGATGGAGGTACATTTTCTTTCATGTTCCCGAAATTGACTTGATGGTTCTATGCTTATATATCCTCCACAATGAGGAAAAGACAATAACAATGTCAATTATGAGAAGATAGTGGAATCAGTAAAGAGGTTTATAGGCTTTATTAATAGACTACTTATGAACCGCGAATCAACTTCTGTTGTAAGAGAGTTCCATCTTAGATTCGGATGTCTAAAGCCAGCTTTATGCCAAATTTTTGTGCTTGGCTTGTGCATATCTTCAGTGCTTTCGCGCAATGTTCGGGTTCTTGAACATCAGGGTTGATGGTTATATCAATCTTTTTGAGAACGTCGTCTTTCCATCTGAAATCTTTACTGGTAAAACTCTTGTAGTTTTGAAATTAAGTGGAAATGTTGGTCTGAAGGGTCCAAAATTGTTTTGCTTACCGAATCTTAATTTGGAACATTTGACAGTACTAGGAGATAATACAGATTGGGCATTTGCATCAATCTTGACATTGCTTGATGAATTGCAGATTTATGGCGTAGAATTTTGTGATGTTGGATCAATTAATATCAACAGTCCTTGCCTGAAAATGTTGGTGTGGACTTCGAATCTGGTTCTGGATAGGTTGTTCTTAATACCCCCATCTTAAGTGTCTGAAGTATACATGTTGTGCAACTCCATTAATCGGCTCAAATTGCATGCTCAGGTCCTTGCTAAAAGCTAATCTATCTTTCATATATATGAAGCAAACTTATGAGCTTTAGGCTCCAGAGTTTTGTCAGTTCATTGCTGAAATGTGCAATGTAAAGTCTCTTCGTGTATATTGGGAACATGGACTGGTATGTTCTTCGACTTCTGGGTGTGTTAGGTTCACTGGAATTTTCAGGATTTCATGTTTTTTTTCTACATATATTTTCTAAAAACTGGAATGACTCTTGCTTTTTCTATCATGTGAAGTTTTCCCCCTTCGCAGATCGTGTTGCTTCCTGAATTTCTAAGTTTGATGCATTTGGAGTTTACAGCAACCGGGGCTAGCACTAGAAATTTAGTAGTGATTCTACTATTTGAAAATGCTAGTTTTTGACATGGTGAGTCAGGATTAACTAAGATTCTTAGAAAGGAAAAGTGATAATGATTTTGTCCTTTTTCATTTTTTCGACTGATGAGAGACAACCACAAGAACTGGTCATCAAGTTTCATTTTTTGGGTTTTCTATATTTTTTAAATCAGGGTAAAGGCAGAATACCTGTTGATGAAGCCCTCCATTCTGGTGCTGAAGACAAACCACTGTGTTTAAATCAACATCTTAGGGAAGTTGAGATAAAAAATTTCTGTGGGTATTAAGATGAGTTGAGACAGTAAGACATCTTCTGAAGCATGGACCTCTGTTAAAAAAGATGTTTATACACAGTTCAAGAACAAAAATGCAAAAGCAATGGCCCTTATCTGCTCGCAAGAAGATAATGAAGTTCTCAAGGCATTCAAAAAACTGTGAGATTGTTCTTATTTTATGGAGTAAAATTGTGCAGCATTGATGTTCAAAGAAATAGATGAGATGAAATGTTTGACATTTGGAGAAATAGATGTTGAAGCAGTTTTTACTTGTAAAATTCTTAGCTCTTGTGCTCAGTGCCTCTTCCTATACGAGCTTTATGGTAAGTACATTCTATGAACCATCAGTAGTTTTGAGTCATCAAGTATTTAATTCAATGAAGCCATGAAGTTCATCTTTATATTGTCAATCTTAGCTGTTAATCATAGACAATATGTGAAACTCCATGAACTCTCGCTTATACTACTTTAACTCTTTATGCTTCCCATAACGTATGTCAGATTGCTGTTATTGGTTATTATGCCCTATATTAATAGATAAATGTATTAGATATATCCTCATTAAAGAAATATAGAATGTAGCAATGCCATGAGGAGCAATAGTTGTCTGCGATATTGAAACTTTAGCTCATATTTTCAATCTTTTGTTGGTTTTCCTAGTCACATGTCACCTTACTTATAGCATATCTTTTGTACCCTGTTAACCCTTTTACCAAGCTTACAAGAAGCCAAACATTAGATCAGATGATTTCTGTGTTTCATCTCTCCAAGGTGTAAAGTAAAGAGATAAAAACGAGGAGACACTATAAGAGCATTTGGGATTGTATATAACGAAGAGTACTTGCTCATAAAGCATCTATTTGGTGACTAGATTTTGGACTATTTCCCCAAGGCAGAACTAAAATGCAGTAACATTATGCTATCTGCTCTTTCTAAACCTAATGTTGAATTCTATTTTTTTAACCAAGTAAAACATATTTTACAAGATTGAAACGATAGTATTGTCTATGTACAAATTTCTGTTTAAATAAAGATTAGTATGGCATTTATGCATGATATAGACCGTTCATGTGTTTTCCTCTGTTAACACACAATAAATCTTCATCAGTATACAGTATCGTTGCTTAGTACATGAATTTGCTGCTTATAGTCTTAGAGGCTCAGTTATTAGTGTTCATCGATTGCTCAATCGAAGTCAGAATTTTGTGATCCTAATGATGTTGAACATGCTTTTATTTTGCCAAGAGAAGATCTGAAAGTCTTTCAGACGTACTAGACATGTGGAGCATCATTCCCAATTTTTAGTAGCGATACTTCACTGAGTGCGGTCAAATGGAAAGCTGAGTTAGGGAGCAAACTTCATAATGTTCTGGTGTAATGTGACAAAGGGATACTGAAAATTGCTGTATACCATGAATTTTGTAGATTTGATGAGGAATTGTGATGGTGAGAGTTCAGTAGATTCATCAACGCTTTTGAGTGATCAGGTGTTTCAGAGAAGGTTGTTATTTTGGAACTTTGCTTTATTGCTTGTACCATATACTCAGAATTAGTTGTTTCAAGAGACCTTGAAGGACCAGCAGGTTGTACAGAATGTGATGATTACACATGAGATCTGAACAAAATGATCGAGAGTTGAAGGGCTGTTTTATCTAGGCGATCGTTATGAAACATAGGAAGGTCCCAATCTTTATTTTTCAAAAGCTTCAAATGCTTAAAAAGAAGATTCAAATCCAACACATAGGAAGAAGCATGCAAGTTGGAAACATTTTGGCTGACGACGATAGATTGATACTGTTGAGTCCTTTCTCACGTTATTTTTGCTGAAGAAAGCTTTTACAAGAAATTTTAAGTGTTATTGGACTGGCAGCAGCAGAATTGTAGTTCAGCAATTTTAGAGTTTAAAACAGTTAGATATTGATAATCATTTTTTGTGGAGCTTGACTTTTCATTTGGTTAAATGTATGTTTGCAAGGTGGAGCCAGTTCTGTAGTTTGATTATCATTTTTTGGGTTATTTTGATATAATCTTCTTGCAAACTAGATACTTGTGGAAGAAAATGAGGGAGGACGAAAATCAAGGCTTTGTAATCACGTTAACAAGTAGAAGGAAACAAGTTAGTGGTCAAGGGATGCCTGTTAGAGTTTTTGTCGCTGTTAGATTCAGAGTTCAAATCTTATGTTTAACCGTTGAAGGTAAAAAAGCCTAGACAGAGAAAAGGGTTGGGCTGAGGGAGGAGGAAAAAAAATCGGCAAAGATAGGAGGAAAAAAATCGCATGTTTTATTCGGTCGCTACGCGTAATTAGTATCATTTCGTGTTTTTTTGTTGTTTTTACGACATTCTTTATAAATAGGAAATGGAGACTGCCAATGAAGATGAAATTTTTTTTATTATGGTCTAAATTTACTACTTGGCAGGCTTAGTAATTGATTTTTGACCAAGGAAAATGCTCCAAATAAGGTTATCGAGTTTGCTGGCACTACATTAAATAGAATTCAAATAAGATTGTGGGGTTCCTATTTATCGAATTGACAATGTTTTATTAGTCAAAGACCAAAAACTAAGCTTGTCAAAAAAAAAATTCAGTTCAAACCTTGATAAAATTTTTCTCTATGGCCAAATATTTGCAGCCAAGTTCTCAAACGACGAGAACATTATATGGGGCATGTTGAACAAGCCCATAATCTAAACCCAATGGGCCAGTTTTAAGTTTTTCTATTTCTTCCGAATATTCATAGAGGTTTTCCCGCCCTCTTTTTATTTTTCATGAATTGGTTGTGACTAGAAATTTACAACCCTAATAGTTGTTTATTGGTACTTGACTGTAAAATGTTGACATTTTTCAAAATTGTGTTTTTGAGCCTAGGTTACCTTTTTTTTTTTTTTTTTTGGTTGAGAACATGAAGTGATGAAAAAAAAGAGAGGATAAGGTAAGGGAGTTTTTTTTCTCATTGTTTGATTTTTTGGCAAGAAAAAAGCTAATTATCTTAATTAAAGAATTAAAAATTTATTACTTGAAATGTGAGCTATAAGGTGGCATATATTGAATTTTGAGAACTACTTTCCTAGCAAGATTACTCCCATAATTTGATCAAGAAATATCCTTTTATATAAAGTATTCCATATGCAAACCATTGACAGTAGATAATTTGATTTTGGTTTATCTGACTTCTTCCTCTAATACTAAACATTATATAACATCATTTACTGAGAATTTGCTCTTAGCTGTATAACACGTAATAATAAAAATTATATTACGTCACATACATAAAATTTTCTCGTAACACATTTTGACGTGGAGCAATTTAATTGGCTTGCAATCACTATAAAAACCAACAACTTATTTTGATTATTACTGCAACTCAGCAGATTTTCATTCTTTATCACCTAAAAGAGCAGCACAGGTTTTCCTAATTAACTTGTTCAACTAGGATCAAATGGAAGGGGGATAATGCCTTCATTCTTCTCCGATCAAGTTAGGTATATTCTTATTTGGCAATTTACTTTTAAGGTGTAATATTGATTATCTGTTTATTTTGATTTATAGTTCTTTTTCTCTTTTTGAGAAAATAATCTAGAATCAATTGATTACTTTGTTTTGGTATTCCAACTCATCTTTCAGTTACGAAAATGTTTTGGCAAACTTTTATATATTTTTCAAATGCGATCTCTATTTGCATGGTGTTTATGCATGCTTGATATCTCTAATTTTGTGTTTTTTTTTGGGTGAAGTTATTATTTTGTGTTTATGCTTGATATCTCTAATTTTGGTGAAGTGATTTAACCTTGGTTCTCTAATGTTAATTAGGAATTAGGAAGTAAACCAACTTTTCGTAGTTGTTTCTCTTCCTTTTTTTTACAACTCTTTGGAGGGACAAAAATCAGTCTTACTAACTCATCTAGTGAACATATAGCCATGTCTTCTTCTTCCTTTTTTTTTGTGTTTATTTACCGAATATAAGTCAAGAAACGTTGCATTTGCCATCGATCAAGTCCAATCCCTTATAAATATAACAAGAATAGAATTTTGATGGAAAAAAAAATATTGCCTTCGTGCAATATGCAATGGTTGAGACATTGTTTGGTAAATATATGTTCACAATTTTTTTTAGCAAACTATTAAAAAAGTTCTACCGAATTCACTTGAAAGAGAAGTTTTGAGTGCTTGGTCTCCTTTTGCTAGACTTTTATTATGTGAAAAACTCTACATTTTTTTTTTTTTAACAAACACTGCTTTTACTTTTTCAATTATATCCAATTTCGCATAAAGTATAGGTTAGGAAATGTCACAAATAGTATTTCTTTGTAAGACATAAAAGGCTTATCATGCATTACAAGATAAGTTAATCAATTAACTTAAGTAAACTAAATTTATGAGTGAAATTCATTTGTCTACATCTTTTACTGTAGCCAGTGTAAACTAACTTTATTAATAAACCAATAAATCTTAAAATTCGCATCAGAAAAGCAAATATTAAATGATCTACGAAGCTTTTACTTATTATCAAGATTAAAATACATGTAGAAACGTCGTATTAATATAATTTTCATACTTAAGTATTTTATTTCTCTGATTTTTCTCGTAATTACCATACTAATGATACTACAGATCAAGTTTCTCTCTAGTTATAGAGAAACTTCACCACGTAGTGAATGACTGGAGACAGTGGCGGAGCCAGGATTTTTTCCTTGGGGGGGCCAAAATTTTTTCAAACAAAATTACCTTAATATGTTATATTCAAAATAATTTTTATTTTATTTAAATATATGATATCTTAAAATATCAAATATTAACTTTAATTATAAAGGTATGTCTATTTTATAAATATGTAACATAGTCATAACTAAAATTAAGACAAAAAATAACCTTTGATTAAATATCTTATAACATCACAAACCACCTAAGTTGCACATTATGAGAAGATGCTCCAATATGTCACTTGTGCAAAAATAAAAATATAATTATCAATATAAATATAACTATTTTCAATTAAAAAAAGATAAAAGTTATGTTAGCATACATTGAAATTTCATCCTTTTTTATTAAAAGTAAATTGAAATTTACGTTCTTTTATAGAATCGAGGACACTAAAGACTCATCATGCTTTTTATATAGTAATAGATTTATCCCATGTAAGTTCAAATAGCAAGTGTCGTCATTAAAGTAGAAAATAGGAAATTAACATGCTAACCACAAATTGAACAATTGGTTCAAGATACAACTGCATCACCTTTATAGTAAAATTATTTGGGCCAGCCCTTGAGCCCTCGATTATATTATGTCCAGAGCCCGGGAACCTGGTGATTACTGCAAAACTCAAATACTGCACATGTTGTACCCTGTGATTACTCCACAAGACGTTAAACAGCTAAACCAAAAAAAAAGTTCACGAAATATAT